TTATTAGGGTGGAAATGAAAGGGTAATCACGCATTCCTGTAACAGCGCTGACGCATGTGACATCATTCTGATTGACTGGACTTACTAACTACCAACTAACTTGTTTTCTCTCTCAGATTTGGTGTTGGTTGTGTTATTTTATCTCAGTAAATATCCTAGTTTCCTGTTTAAAGGGAGGCATTTCCTCCTTGGCTTTACACACCCTCAGGAGAGGCTGATCCATCATGTGTTCCTCTCGAGGCAGAACGTACGTGCCGAGTAAAAATACTCAATTCTGACAAACCAAGAATGAGAGATGTATTTTTTACCCTGTAGAAGCTACTTTTATCCACACAGATATCAATGGCTAATAAATGTATGTTTCTCATTTCCCTAAAGACAAGAATCTGGACAAAATCTATAGTGCAGGACGAGTCACCAATATTTTTGCTGTATTTTGCTGGAAGACAGAGACTGTAAATTTTCAATGAGAACACAGAAGTGAATTTGATTAACATCTAGGACATAATAATGAACTCAAAGCTAACAAACACAGGCATTAACTGAAAGTCTCAAAACTAATTTTGATTTAATGGGGTAGTTTGTGTCTGCATTAAGAACAAATGACATCGTCATACTCTTATGGTTTAGAATGGGCTCTCAGTTTTGCAAAATACCAAATTAAACGGTCACCAAAAGACAGGATTTCAGAGATAAACACTTCAGCACATTAATCAAAGCCAAACCTCGTCTTCTTAGCATCCAAATTGAACCTCCAGACAGTCTGGGATCTTTTCTGAGAATGTCAGCAATGCTTCCCCTTATTGTCCTCTTATAGATGGAGAATTGACAGCCATCATTGACCTTAACTGAACGTTTGACGTGGGTTTGTTTTTCTGATTGCAAAATTTGTATATTTTTGTGACCCTTCAGAGTTTTATTTTTTTTTATTTTAGTTGTTTATTTTGGACCACTGTATCTAATGACACATACTTATCCTTGTGTCTTTGTTTGGAGGGATGCACAAATACCCATGTGGGTAAGGGCTCAGGCATTGGTCCAGTTGTAACTCTTGTGCCATTATCAAGTGCCTATTCTCATACGAAATGATCTTGTGACTGTATTGAATCAACAGCAATAGAATTACTTCTCTATCCTCTGTTGTCCTTGTAAGTGGCTGGCTTGTGTGTTCAATAGGACATAATTGAACAGTGGAGGTTGAGGCGGCTGGTTTGAATCGGAGCTAACTCAATTTGTATTAATTCTGTACAGCTGATGTTATCAGTCAGATTGCACCTACTCATTTTTTATTTCTACATTTTTCCAAAGCTATCAAAAATAACAAATGAAAGTATTTGAATTATGCATTGACCAAAAAATATATAAATGAAAAATATAATACAATAAATATTTTTTAATGCGAAACATTTTATGTTTATATAAAGAACAATTCATATTAAATGTAGGTCTTTAAATCAAAACATTTTTCATGATCATAAGTAACAAATTTAGTAAGGAACTGTAAAACCACATCTTAATTTCCCTCTCTATCACTGTTCTCGATGTTACGCATCAGTACCCATGAATCAGTTACAGCCATTAATCTCCTGAACTTTTGCTCTAAATTGCATAAATGAGCTTTTCTTTCTTCCAGACAAACATTTTAGTCTCTCAACTTCTTTCTCAAGTATGCATTATATAATTCAAGAGCGTTCATAAACTGCCGTTGAGTTTGGCTGATGTGTGCCCAGCTTGCCTATTGCTTGGCAGCATTTGTAGGAGCTCTAGTGTGAACAGTTCTGTCATTACACAAGCACATGTTGGTCAGGCCAGCTCGTGTTTATATAAAGATCAGATATGTGCAGCACCATTCCAGTCTTCTGTCCCCTCCTCTGGACACACATAGCATCACTAGGGAACAGCTGCCTCTTTCACTCACAAACACACACACAAATATACACACAGACATCCATCCATTTTTCAAACCGACTGTCCTATCGTAGGCATGCTGGAGTCTCTCCCAGCATTTCTGGCCATAGGCAGGAAAGCACCCTGACAGGATGGCCAGTCAATCGCAAACCTGTGTTATTTTTGTTAACTAAAACTAAAACTATTATAAATATTTTTTATTGAAATTAAGCTGAACAGACAAAAACTGAAGTACTAAAATTACTAAAATAACCAAGTAAAAAAACTATTAAAATGACATAAGCACATACAAAAACTACTAAAAATTAAACAAATTAAAATAATAATAAAAACTGTAATAATGAATAAATAATACAAAAATAACAGTCATAGACACACAGACATTCATATACAAATATTTTTTTCCTGTAAGAAAGAAAACAGAATTTTTTTCACCCACAGTGTCGTGTTTTTATTTTAAAAGTTTTTTTTTTTTTTTTTTAATAAAAGTTACTGTAGTAATACATATAAAAATCATGCAAAAAAAAAATACAATATAACGTAAGTTACACACATTTTATTGTCTTGCAGTCTGAGGTGTGGTGCTAAATAAGACAAAAAAGGTCTGTCTTAGACAGCTGGCACAGCAGGATAAAGGAGCACCTGCTAGTGTTATGTGGGCCTGTCTTGTGTAACAGGTTATCCAGTGTGGGTGTCTGAGCCCATTAGAAATTACCATCTCGCCAGTCTACAGATAACTTAAAGGGGTCATATGATGCGATTTCAAGTTTTCCTTTCTCTTTGGAGTGTTACAAGCTGTTCGTGAATAGATAGGATCCCTAAAGTTGCAAAGACTAAAGTCTCAAACTAAAAGTTAAGACTGGTCCACACCCTACCTAAAATGGCTCGTTCTAACACGCCCCCACATATCTACGTCACGATGTGGGAAGATTTGCATAACGCCGCCCAAATGTTCACGCAAAGAAAGAAGGCGTAACTTTATTGTTGCTGCCACCGCCGCCACAAATGCCTCGTTTATAATAGATTTTATTGGTTTTGTCTCGTCGCTCCAGGACACGGCTTCACAGTATGGTAGGGGCGTAACATTTCCGTCACACGCTTGAGGTATTCGGCCAATCACAACGCACTGGATAGCTGGCGTGATCTCTTTAATTATCATGTGATTCCTTAAATTAAGATGGCTTCTAGTTCTAACACTGTTAGCTTGGCATTGAAAATGGTCAACATGTGACCGAAACGTTTGCCTTGTTTTATTCAGTAAATTGCATACATTGTTCTCATCTCGCTTGTGATGCTTTAATGTTTGAATGTGCGGACACTTTTCAAGCATTACACCAAATACACAAATGTTATTTTTAGCAACATCATATGACCCCTTTAATTTTGGTTACACACTCTTACCACAGACACAGATACCAGACACCACTGCCGAATGAGGAATGAGAAGCATGCAGAGAGAGGACACTGTTTGCAGGCCTACTAACCTGATGGCAACTTGATCTATGGTGGGACAGGATTTTTTTAGTCTCATGGATAACAGCAGGGTTGATTATAGTGAGGTAGGTTTACACCAGGGGTGCCCAAACTCGGTCCTGGCGGGCCGGTGTCCTGCAGATTTTAGCTCCAACTTGCCTCAACACACCTTGCCTTCGAGGTTCTAGTATGCCTATTAAGAGCTTGATTAGCTGGTTCAGGTGTGTTTAATTGAGGTTGGAGCTAAACTCTTCAGGACACCGGCCCTCCAGGACCGAGTTTGGGCACCCCTGGTTTACACTATAAGCAAAGTTGGAGGCCTTGTAATATCACAGAATGAGTTTGAAAAGTTTCAAGAGGATAGAGAATCATGTGAAGCTTTTCCTTTTTTATTTTTTTTTCCCTGCTTATCACAACCATGCAGCAACATATAGCAAGTGATGTAGTCAGTCATGAAATTAGTCCCCCTTCCCATGAAATTCAAACACATTTGGTCACACGAGACACATTTAAGATGCATTTACAACCAGATGTAAATGGTGATGTGTGGTCAACTGTGATTGGATCACATAAAATCCTTGTGCTTGATTGTATTGAATATGCGCTTGTTCTTCAAATCTAAAAAAAGGGTATTTAAAAAAAAATGTACTTGCGGATAATATAAGATGAATAAAATAAAAAGCCACTTAAGTGTACTTAAAGAGAGACACTTTTTTTTTTACTGTTTCTTAACACAATTAAGTATACTTTTAAAAATATATATTTTTAATAGTGCTGTCAAATGATTAATCACGATTAATCGCATACAAAATAAAAGCTTTTTTTTTGCATATGTGTTCTGTGTATATTTATTATGTATATATAAATAGACACACATGCATGTATATATTTCAGAAAAATGTTATGTTTATTCTGTATGCGATTAATCGTGATTAATCATTTGACAGCACTATTAAAAATATATATTTTTAATAGTGCTGTCAAATGATTAATCACGATTAATCGCATACAAAATAAAAGCTTTTTTTTTGCATATGTGTTCTGTGTATATTTATTATGTATATATAAATAGACACACATGCATGTATATATTTCAGAAAAATGTTATGTTTATTCTGTATGCGATTAATCGCGATTAATTGCTTGACAGCACTAATTTTTAATAATTCCAAATAAAAATTGATTATGATTATAACTTTAGTGTATTATTTGATATTACAGTTATAGTTAATAAATGCTTGTCAGTACATTCAGCAGTACACTTTAACCATATTTCAAAGACAATAGAAGTAATTATGAAATTACATAGACGTACTTACATCCTACTTAAGTGGGTCAAAAATTCAACTAATTGCATTTAATACATTCATATTTAAACAATAATTAAGTTAAACAACAATTTAATTGTAAATAACATGCAATTACGGTAAGTAACCGAAAACACTCTTAAGTATATTATTGTTTTAAAGTATATAATTTCCATAATAATTATTTAAAAGTCTGTTAAAGTGTACTTATTTTTACATATTGTACCTGATCTAAATGGACCTAAATGCATTATTACAGTCAAGGCATTTTGACTGATGGCTCTTGACATTGTAAACCTGCTCTAATTTCAGACTCTGACCGAGAGGACAGTCATGGGAATCCAGAAGCCAGAGATTCACCTGTAGGTTGTCACTTGTCAAACCATTACCTCTTTAAAGCCAATAAAAATGGCTGTTTTATTTTACTGATCTCATGTCTGCCTTGTTTGCCTCTTTACACACAGGTAAACAACAAAATACGCTCTCCCCCCTCAGACAGGCCTCCCTTCGGCGCTCATCTAAGCACACACCACAGCATCTCTGCTGATGAACAGGACAGCCCAGAGCAAATTGTGAGTACTACAAATGTAATCTGTGAGCCCAGCCATGTGGAGATGTGGATCTCAGACCTCTCACAAACTTAATTCCAAATTTGTTTCCAAGGTTCAGAAGGAAAAACTCCATGCAGAACTAAAACAAGTTTTGAGTCAGAAGAGAAGCAAGCTTAGAGACACCCAATCCACCCTCACAGACATGGAGGAACCCCCCAAGACAGACAATAAGAATGAGGTACGAATGAAAACATCCCATTATAAGGACTGCTCTCAAAATGATTAAAAAGCACCTTTGTGGAATATAGTATGAACATCCTTTGAACTTCCTTTAAAAAAAATTGAATGTATACAACTCAAAGCTTAATTAGTGTTATGTAAGATTAATAGCTTTTAGAAAGAATTCGAAATCTGTTTTTGAAATTAAATGACTTGTTTAACCCCCAGCCTTCACCATTGCACATTTGTATTTTATAATTGTATATTTACAATTTACAATTTACACTTAAAAGTTATATACAATATAAAGTATATACAAAAATATATATATATACACACACTTACAATCAATCATATCCTACTGCTGTTACATTTTATTTACATATTACCTACTTATCTAATTGTCATTTACCTACTTACCAAACTGTCTAACTTTTATGTTTTGTACTCAGTGTACTATCTGTATTTATTGTCCATATTTACTGTTGTCTTTTAGTCCTTGTGCTGTCTACTACATACATCACTGTGTTTTCTGAAGGAACTGTATTTCATTTTTATCCACTGCAATGCAATGTGCTAAAAATGACAATAAAGTTGATTTGGTACATTTTATGAACAGGTGGAGAAGGACAACCAGTTGTCAGAGCTCGTGGAAATGGTTGTTGAAACACAGGCTGAGGTTGGAGCTAGTGGGTACAGTGTTGTGGGTGGAGGGGAGCAAGGCATCTTCATCAAAGAGGTCTTGAAAGACTCCCCAGCAGAAAAGCACCTCAGTCTACAGAAAGGTACCAAGGGACTGTATTTTACATTACAAAGTGCAATGTCAAATACTGTACACTGTAAAGACTTGAGCCACTGTCCTTGATAAGACAAGCAGGAGAAACAACTTTAACCTTATAATCATTAATGGACAGGTGTTGAGTACAGGTGTGAATTAATTTAGTTTCCTGATGTACTAAGAATACCAAGACAAATCATGTAAGTTATAAATATTTTTTGATGATGTGTTATTGCAGGAGATCAACTGCTAAGTGCCAGGGTGTATTTTGATAACGTCAAATATGAGGACGCATTAAAAATTCTTCAGTGTGCAGAACCCTACAAAGTGTCCTTCTTTTTGAAGAGGACTGTGCCAGGAAGTGAAGTCAGCATACGTCCAGGTGCACAAAATCTTGAGCTCAGAGGACCTAAGGCCAAGATGCAAAAAATGGTACATGCTGAAATATTGCTATACAATAGAATTATTTTTTGAACATCCACAGTATTTCTTAAAGTTAATTAATTTTTCAAAAGTACTTACACAACAGTAGAAACTAGAAGGAATGATAACCTTTCTCTTGCAGAGCGTCAAAAGTGTGAAACCATTCAAAACTAAGAAAAGGAGAGGAGGAAGATTTGGATTGAAAAGACTGAAAGAGAACAAAAAAGCAAGAGCACGGGCAGAGCTGGACGTTGATGGATCACCTGGTAGATCAGACCTCAGTCCTGTTGATGTTGAGTTTGTATTCCCGAAGTTCAAGATAAGGAAAGGTGGGAAGGCCACTGCAGATGGATCAGAACATCTGGAGGGTGTTATCACTAGTACTAAGAAGAAGAGGAAGATCAGATTTCCAAAGATGAAGGCCATGGATGCTGCTGTTGGTGAAGGGAAGGCCAATGTAGATGTTTCAACACATGAAGGAGAGGCCTCTGGATCCAAGCTGAAGGCCAAGATGAAAGGTCCAAAATTTGGAATGAATTTCCCAAAAATTAAAAAGTCAAAGTTAGATGTACAATCTTCAAATGACAGCTTTAAGGTGAAAGAACTAGAAGGCAAATTTAAGCCTCCATCAGTAGAGTGTGATTTCAACATGCCTCAGGGCAAGGCTGAAACTAATGTTTCTAATTTTGAGGTTAGTGTTAAAGGAAAAGGAGAGGGTCCTGAGATAAAAATGCCAAAGATAAATCTGGATGTCTCAGATACAAAGGTGACAGTCCCAAAGGTTGAAATGCCAAAGGTTGATATCTCTCTGCCTGCAGTGAAAGCTTCTGGTGTTGAGATTTCCTTGCCAAAAATGAAGTCAACACAAGGTGACATCAGTATTAAAGGATCTGACAGCAAAAGATTGAACATGCCATCCGTTGATATATCATTTCCAAAAGTAACAGACACAGGTAATGTTGATCTCAAGAGACATTCAGGGAAAATAGGGAAGTTTGATATTCCAAAACTGGATATTTCCTTACCAAAATTTGAATCAACCAAAGGGGAACTCAGCGTGGAAGGACCTGAATTCAAAGGTGGCAAATTAAATATACCTTCTTATAATATCTCCTCAGATGTTTGTCTGGAGGGAGAAACCAAAAAGGGCACAAAGTTTCAAATGCCAAAATTGGATATTAATTTACCACAAATAAAATCAGTAAGGACTGAAACAAATATTGAAGGACCTGAAGTGAAAGGTGGAAAGATAGATATGCCAGATGTTGACATTTCTCTTCCACAAGGAAAGGTTAAGGGAGATGGCAAAGTTAATGTCAGTAAGGGGGATAAGTTTAATTTGCCTCAAATTGATTTGTCACTTCCAAAGATGAAAACAAGATCCGTGGAAGTCAATTTTGAAGGACCTGAGGTAAAAGGAAGCAAAGTTCAGACACCTTCCCTTGACATTTCTTTGCCTAAAGATAAAACGGAGACAAACATTGATATAGAAGGCCATTCTGGAACAGGTATGAAGTATGAAATGCCAAAAATTGATGTTTCACTGCCAAAAGTAAAAGCTCCGGAAGGAGATGTGGCTGTCGAAGGACAGGAAGGAAAGGGAAGAAAATGTGGAATACCTAAATTTGATGTTTCCTTGCCTAAATTTAAACCATCAGGAGGCGAATTAGACATTGAAGGTCCGGATATCAAGGGTGGAAAGATTCACATGCCCTCTATTGATATCTCTCTGCCTGGAGGAGGAACAGGAGGACATGTAGATGTTGAAGGACCTGCAGAAAAAGGAAGAAAATTCGAAATGCCTACATTGGATGTTTCCTTGCCTAAATTAAAACCATCAGGATGTCAAATGGATATTGAAGGTCCCGATATCAAGGGTGGAACGTTTCACATGCCCTCTATTGATATCTCTCTGCCTGGAGGAGGAGCAGGAAGAGATGTAGATGTTGAAGGGCATGCAGGAAAAGGAAGAAAATTCGAAATGCCAAAATTAAAAACATCAGGAGGTGAAGTTGACGTTCAAGGTCCCAATATCAAGGGTGGAAAGATTCACATGCCCTCTATAGATATCTCTCTGCCTGGAGGAGGAGCAGGAGGAGATGTAGGGTCCCAATATCAAGGGTGGAAAGATTCACATGCCCTCTATAGATATCTCTCTGCCTGGAGGAGGAGCAGGAGGAGATGCAGATGTTGAAGGACCTGCAGGAAAAGGAAGAAAAATTGAAGTGCCTAAATTAGATGTTTCTTTGCCTAAATTAAAACCATCAGGAGGTGAAGTTGACATTGACGGTCCCGATATCAAGGGTGGAAAGTTTCACATGCCCTCTATAGATATCTCTTTGCCTGGAGGAGGAGCAGGAGGAGATGCAGATGTTGAAGGACCTGCAGGACAACGAAGAAAATTTGAAATTCCTAAATTTGATCTGACGTTCAGGGTCCCAATATCAAGGGTGAAAAGTTTCACATGCCCTCAAATGCCCTCTATAGATATCTCTCTGGCAGGAGGAGGAGCAGGCCGAGATGTAAATGTTGAAGGACATGCAGGAAAAGGAAGAAAATTTGAAATGCCTAAAATTAGATGTTTCTTTGCCAAAATTGAAACCATCAGGAGGTGAAGCTGACGTTCAGGGTCCCAATATCAAGGGTGAAAAGTTTCACATGCCCTCAAATGCCCTCTATAGATATCTCTCTGGCAGGAGGAGGAGCAGGCCGAGATGTAAATGTTGAAGGACATGCAGGAAAAGGAAGAAAATTTGAAATGCCTAAAATTAGATGTTTCTTTGCCAAAATTGAAACCATCAGGAGGTGAAGCTGACGTTCAGGGTCCCAATATCAAGGGTGAAAAGTTTCACATGCCCTCAAATGCCCTCTATAGATATCTCTCTGGCAGGAGGAGGAGCAGGCCGAGATGTAAATGTTGAAGGACATGCAGGAAAAGGAAGAAAATTTGAAATGCCTAAAATTAGATGTTTCTTTGCCAAAATTGAAACCATCAGGAGGTGAAGCTGACGTTCAGGGTCCCAATATCAAGGGTGGAAAGTTTCACATGCCCTCTATAGATATCTCTCTGCCTAGAAGAGGAGCTGGAGGAGATGTAGATGTTGAAGGACATGCAGGAAAAGGAAGAAAAGATATCTCTCTGCCAGGAGGAGGAGCAGGAGGAAATGTAGACGTTGAGGGACCTGCAGGAAAAGGAAGTACATTTGACATGCCTAAATTAGATGTTTCTTTGCCTAAATTAAAACCATCAGGAGGTGAAGCTGACATTGAAGGTCCCGATATCAAGGGTGGAAAGTTTCACATGCCCTCTATAGATATCTCTCTGCCTAGAAGAGGAGCTCTTCCAGGAGGAGGAGCTGGAGGAGATGTAGATGTTGAAGGACCTGCAGGAAAAGGAAGAAAATTTGAAATGCCAAAATTAGATGTTTCTTTGCCAAAATTGAAACCATCAGGTGGTGAAATGGACATTGAATGTCCCGATATCAAGGGTGGAAGGTTTCACATTCCCTCTATTGATATCTCTCTGCCAGGAGGAGGAGCAGAAGGAGATGCAGATGTTGAAGGACCTGCAGGAAAAGGAAGAAAATTTGAAATGCCTAAATTTGATGTTTCCTTGCCTAAATTAAAACCATTGGGAGGTGAAATCAATGTTGAAGGCCCAAATATCAAGGGTGGAAAGTTTCACATGCCCTCTATAGATATCTCTCTTCCGGGAGGAGGAGCAGGAGGAGATGTAGATGTTGAAGGACCTGCAGGAAAAGGAAGAAAATTTGAATTGCCTAAATTTGACGTTTCCTTGCCTAAATTAAAACCATCAGCAGGAGAGATCGATGTTGAAGGCCCAGATATTAAAGGTGGAAAGTTTCACTTGCCCTCTATAGATATCTCTCTGGCAGGAGGAGGAGCAGGAGGAGATGTAGATGTTGAAGGACATGCAGGAAAAGGAAGAAAATTCAAAATGCCAAAATTAGATGTTTCTTTGCCAAAATTGAAACCATCAGGAGGTGAAATGGACACTGAATGTCCCAATATCAAGGTTGGAAAGTTTCACATGCCCTCTATTGATATCTCTCTGCCAGGAGGAGGAGCAGGAGGAGATGTAAGTGTTGAAGGACAAGCAGGAAAAGGAAGAAAATTTGAAATGCCTAAATTAGATGTTTCCTTTCCTAAATTAAAACCATCAGGATGTGAAATCAATGTTGAAGGCCCCAAGATCAAGGGTGAAAAGATTCACATGCCCTCTATAGATATCTCTCTTCCAGGAGGAGGAGCAGGTGGAGATGTAGATGTCGAAGGACCTGCAGGAAAAGGAAGAAAATTTGAAATGCCTAAATTAGATGTTTCCTTGCCTAAATTAAAACCATCAGGAGGTGAAATCAATGTTGAAGGCCCCAATATCAAGGGTGGAAAGATTCACATGCCCTCTATAGATATCTCTCTGCCAGGAGAAGGAGCACATCAGCAGGAGAAATCAATGTTGAAGGTCCCGATATCAAGGGTGGAACGTTTCACATGCCCTCTATAGATATCTCTCTTCCTGGAGGAGGAGCAGGAGGAGATGCAGATGTTGAAGGACCTGCAGGAAAAGGAAGAAAATTTGAAATGCCTAAATTAGATGTTTCCTTGCCTAAATTAAAACCATCAGCAGGAGAAATCAATGTTGAAGGTCCCGATATCAAGGGTGGAACGTTTCACATGCCCTCTATAGATATCTCTCTTCCAGGAGGAGGAGCTGGAGGAGATGTAGATGTTGAAGGACCTGCAGGAAAAGGAAGAAAATTTGAAATGCCTAAATTTGATGTTTCCTTGCCTAAATTAAAACCATCAGGAGGTGAAAT